GCCCCTCCTGCTCTGCTGGGTGCCCCTGGCGTCCCCTGCTGCCCTTGGGGTGGAGCCCGTCTCAGCCTCACCGGTCCCTGCCCCCCTCCACCTGTGACCAGGTTGACTTGTTGGCCTCGGCCTGGGGGCGTGGCCATGAAGTCACACGGCCACCGTTGAGGGCGCAGACCAGCTCTGGTCATCCAGGGGGCAAAGACTGTCAGGGGCGGGCTATTGGGTGGGTTCTGAGCACTCAGGCCCAAGGCACCCTTCCCCACCCTTCCCGGAGGGGTTTAACTCTGAACACTGTCTCAGTCGGCTCAGGCTGCGTAACAAAACCCCACAGCACAGGCATTTATTAAACGACAGACCTTTGTTTCTCACAGCTCAGGAGGCTGGAAACTCCAGATCAGGGTCATCAGGGTCAGCTCCCAGAGGCCCGCTTCCTGGCCCACAGATCGCCGGCCGCCTTCTCGAGGTGTCCTCACGTCCCTCTGTGTGTTCTCGTGGACAGAGAACTCTCTGGGGTCTGTTCTCATAAGGGCACAAGGGCAATCGTGGGAACCCACTCTCGTGACCTCATCAAACCCTAATGTGCTTCCTAGCACCGTGACATTGGGGGCAAGTTTCCATGAATGAATTCTGGGGAGACACAGTTCAGTCCACAGCAAATGCCCAAAGCCACCTGGAAGGACCGTGCCCCTCCCCTACCCAGGTGCAAGTCGTGCTGTCACAACTGTTCCCCAGGGCTTGTGTGTCCCCATCCACGTGCTGAGGGAGCCAGAGGGGCGTCTCAGGGGCAGCCAGACGATGTGCGTGCTGGCCCCACTGAAGGGCCACTAGGGTCTCCTGGTCCCTCCTCTGCCAGCCATCCCCCTGGGGAGTGCTGGAGGAGTGCCCCCTTCCTGCTGTGGGAAGGCAGGTCGAAGCACGGTGTCCCTCCCCAGGACCAGCCCCACCCCACGGGAAGTGAGGAAGGCTGGCGCCACGGACACTGTGAGCCCACCCCGGGGTGCAGTCAGCGTGGCCGGGTGTTACTTCACCCCACACCTGCTCCGCGGCATGGGGCCCGTGGCACCGGACTTTGTTCAGCACCCTGAACACAGCACGGGTCGTTTCTCAAACCCAGAGCGCCACTGGCCCTGCAGCCCATGTCGATCCACTAGAAGGTTCTTAGGAAGAGCGCCCACTGATTGTAAAATGCAGCCAGACTCAGAAACATTAAAACAGGGTGTGGGGGAGGGGGTTGGATCTTAGGGTCTGAGAGACAGTTTCCAAGCTTCCATTGCTTTCCCGGCCGGCTCAAAGCCCGTGACCCCACCCTGGAGACCCCCTGGATCGGTTCCTCCACCTGCACGGAGGGGGCGCTCGGCCCTGGGCCACCGTCAGATGAACCACCATCGCAGGTGCTACGAAGGAAGGAAACCGCTGCCATTTTCAGATGCCTCCAATCGAAGGACGCGCTCTGATTTCGCGGTGATTCCAACGTGGGCAGGTCTGCATCTCGGAGCTGACGGAGCGAGGCATCTGTGTTCTTGTTTTACAGAGGGGGAGACTGAGGCTCAGAGGGCCACGGACTATGGTGAGGGGCACATGGCACACATTCGACAGAGGGGGTCTCAAGCCTGAGTGCCGCTGACGCTCAGGGGCAGAGGCGGAGCTCCCTCCCTGCTCTGAGTGCCGTAGCCACGCCAGCTTGCGGGGCGGCGAGAGGGGCCCTGGGGGCGGGTGGCAGGGCCACTGTGCCTTTTCTGCGCCCCACACACGCTTCTGAACTCCTGCCACAGCCCAGACTCCGGAGCGGGCCCTGTCCTCCGAGGACCTGCCCCCAGTTGGTGTTTGCGTTTGGGCACGGCCGCTTAGGAAGAACGCCCATTCTCCGGAAGACCTACCAGGAGGATTGTTCCAGAGCACTGCTGCGGGCCGGGGACAGAGCCTGGTGGCGACAATCCTGTGTCCTCACAGTGACACGGGCGGGGGGGGGGGGGGGGGGAAGGCAGGGGCGGTGGCCAGGGAGGCACAGACGGGGATGGGGTCCCTGCCACGACCCCAGTGAGACGTGGAGAGCAGGACTTAGGAAGGGCTCTGAGCATCACTGAACACCCTGGCTGTGTCACGTTACAGCCTGGACGGACACAGCTGCCGGACAGAAAGGGCCCCAACTGGGGGGCAGCCGCAGGAGCCCTGGGAGGGCCGGGGTGCATGTGTGGGCGCATGTGTTCACGCGCGATCCTGCCTCGCGCCCTAAACGCGTAGTCCTGTTTTGCCAACACTGCGGTCTGCTCCCAGCCGTGTGCACGCCGTTGGGAATGTAGAGCAGCAGCTTGGCCGTTTGATGCCTGGCATGGGGTGGGGACCCAGCCTGGTCACTTAACCTCCCACCCCCCACCCCGGGAGCCAGGTGCCCCCGGCACAGGAAGGCGCCATCCAAACGGGTGCTGCTGTGTTCCCCCGGAGTGCACAAGGCTGTCACTTCTCTGTACCTGCCCTCGGGGGCCCCTCGCTGTATTTTATAGGGGCGGCTGTCACGGCCGCACGTGGTAAGGAATCAAAGGCTTCCTAAAGCTGGTCTGGTGATTTGGCATTTGAAATGCTGAAGGTGCATCCGTGGGCATTTCATGCAGGAGGGTACAGCTAAGAGGGGCCGTTGAAAGAGACAGACTGCAAAATTAAACGTGGGCTTTAACTAAGAAATAACCTCTTTTTTTTTTTTTAACAATTATTTATTTTTG